CCACAATGCTATATTTCTAATGGTTTGAAATATGTAGTATCAACCTTAAATATATTATTTAATATTTTTAACTTTTAAGGACAAAATGCACCAGAGTAAAACAGTCAGAGCTTACTGGCCAGTTAAGCTGGATATACAGCTGCTTTGCATCTTCAAAGCAGTGCAAGGCAACTGTAGTGTAGTGGTTAATCTGGCCTTTAATTTGCAATTGATTTTTTGGTTTAGAGGGTGATATTACAGAGACTGAAACTGTGTGAAAGGAAGGACAATGATTAGCCAAATCTCAAGCTCCCACTTTAAGGGCTCCCCCAACCCCCAATGCTTCTGGTCAGTTTCCCCAGCAGTGCTGTCTTGGTGCATAGCAAAGCTGAGGCAGAAGAGTCATGAGGAGTCGTCTTTCAAGCACAGATGCTCAAGTTAGTATGCAGCTACAGAACTGTTAAAGAGCAGTGACAGCTGGGCCAAGTAAACTGTACGGTCTCCCTCATATCTTTGAGCCATTACAACCACTAGAATTGTTGCATGAAAACTAGCTGTAGAGAAAGAACGGGGTTTAGTTACTTCTGATATCACAGTAGCCCCTCTTATGTGTTACCTGAGCTGTTGAACTGACCCTGCCTGTAGCTTATAATAAGTAGATACAAAAATAGTTAATAATGTAAACTTTAATTATACCTTAATCTCTTTAAATATAACCTACACATGAAACTTTAATCAATTTTAACTATCAGGAATGTTTGAAGATTCTGTTTTATTCTATTATTGCTATCATTTGAGACCAAGAAAACCCTGATGCAGATGATAAATTTCTTTAAGAACCCAGTGTTTAATTAAGTTTAACTCTAACTAACTGTCAGATTTATATAACAACATTCCAGAATTGTCACTCCGTATGTCACTCTGTTGAGTCAGGGTGAAGCAATGGAAACAGCTACACGCATGTTCAGAGCTATTTTTATTTAAAATATCACCATGTTTATTCATCACCAAGATTTGCGGTCTGCTACTGTCCAATTTTTAAGTACTCAGACATTTTTGGTTTTTTTTACACTGTATGAATTACACCTGTACAACAGCATGGGCTTTCACCTTATTTACTTATAAAATCTTGAAAATTCATTCATTCTTTAGCTCAAAGAGAAAGTACTGTAAGTTTGGAGAGGTTACAGAATATTTTCCATATGTAACAAAGATGTGAATCGCAACTTTAAGTGTGAAACGGAACTCAGCCTGAAGTGTAGTGTCACAACCAGGGCCGCCATAATTAAATGTAGCATATTTTCAAAACATTGTTTAAAAAAAAGTTGATACCATTTATAAATTATATTCCGAGAGTGGAATTAAAATGTGAAAGTAATAAGTTTTGGGGGGCAGGGAGCGTGTTTCTGTTGTGTGTTAGTAAAACTGAATCCTCATCTCTGCAGCACATAAACCCTATCACACTACAAATAACATAAGACTAATGTAGAATATGACAATATTTGTTAGCCTGTTTTTAAAGGTTTTGGGTGATTTTAATGGGACTTGCACTCCTAAGTCACTTAATTGCTTTTGAAAATTCCATCCTTCATCATAAAAGGGACAATTTACTTCAAATATTTTTGTCTGATTTGTGGGATTAGCTAGGGATTAATGCCAATAGCAGCTATGTTAGAACTGTATATCTATTTTTAAATGGACTTAACATTTTAAATAAGAAAGAAAAGAGAATCAATAACCCACAACCAGACAGGCTGATTATTTGTCAGCAGCCTGACACAGCCCTTTATCTCATTCTCCATTTAATGCTAGGTCTAATACGTAGCAACTATGTTCTTAATTACATAGATAAGCACCTTCTAAGCAGTGAGAGGGTCCAGACTGTTTAAAGAAACCACACCAAACAAGCACACAGAGGGAAAACATCTGAAATAGTGAGAACCACTGTGGGGATATGCAATTATAGAATGAATGTGTGCAAAATTGTATGTCCAGATTTCTCAGACGGGTGCAAATCTCTAAAGGGCACAAGATATCATTTCATTTAAACAAATTCCAGGCTGCAGCAAAGGTGGGTATATATTTTGTGAATAATCAATAATTTCTAGCAAGTGATTAAGTATATTCTATGTAAATAGTAGAAGAATAATAGATTGCTCAAATGGCACACAGAACAGAATTATATAAAGGATTAACATGTCCTCATTGTTACAAGATTTCTGCAAATCCAATGCTGCAATTCACTTTTTAAATGAACTGTTTGAAACAAGGAACTTTCTTATAATTAATTCTCTCTCTCTTACATCATTTTAAGAATACACTAACTTACAAAGCCAAGGGCAGAACACTATCACTCATTTACTGGATCAGCCAGACCCATTTATTTTTAAAAGTAGGACATTTGCCATTTGAATCTTGTTTGCTAATCTCTAGGACTATATTCTCCCTTCTGGATAAATGTATAACAAGTTTTTTCAAGCTTGTAGGGCTCCTACAGTTGGGTGTCATCTAAGGCAGGCAACATGTGAAACAATTCACTAACCTTTCTCTCCCATAAAAAAGTGTTAAGAAAACACCTGAGATCATAAACTTCCCTGAGAACCCAGAGATCATTTAACAGCAATCCCAGTTCCAAGGCAGCAACAATTCCAATCTCCTCTCCATAGAGCCGAGCCCACCGCAACCCAGCAGCTCTCCCCTTTTTGCTAGATAAAGAAGACCTATCAGGCTCTATATCAAACATATTTCAGCAATATACCAATTAGCGGTCTTCTGCAATCCTCACTTGTCAAACTATCAAACCCTTTTAATGGTCACAGGGCCAAAATAGGCTCTGAATTTACTCCAACCATTTCCTCCTTAACCATCATTATGATCATGTAGTCTTTGTACCGGAAGGGACAAAGGAGTGATGGTTAGGGAACAGGGGTGGGGTACAGTTGAGTTTTAGTTAACGGCGTAATAGAATCCAAAAATATTACTCTTTTATTTTCCTGGTATAGGTCAATCTGAACTACTTACTGTAAACCAAGAAATGAGTAAGGAATTATACAAAATGCTAGTCCATACCAATCAAATTAAGTTGACAATCTAATTAGCAAGACAACTGTAAATTAGGTGGAAAGTACTGTTGAGGATTAATATGACTCAGTCATATTAATTTCCATATATATATTTTGGTCATCTCCCCCTTGATTGCATTAATGTAATGATGCAATTGGAGTTCACAATATATTTCAGACAGCTTTAGAATTGTAACTATTCAGTAACACCAGAAAGTTCTCTCTTGGAAGGTTTAAAATCATCTACAGTATGTCAGAAAATTCTAGAACAAGCATAATTATGATAGTATACTAATTCGGAGTTGAAGCAAGGGTAGGAGACAGAAGGGGACATTATCTTTAATTATGTGAGAAAGGATAATGGAAGAAAGTCTCTTTTTGTGAGAAACAAAATGATCAGACTTGCAGGTTCAAAGATAAAGTCTATTAAATATATTATTTTACATTTATTTAGTTCCTTTACTCAAAAAGTCTGTGCAAGTATATCACAACCATTAATTATATTCCACAATACCTCTTAGAGGGAGGTAGGAGATATTGAAATCATCTCACCATCGAAAGGTAGCTGTCTCTGGGAAAAAATTCAACTGGTAGTGACACACAGTATTGTCACACAGCAATTTAGGGATATGAATTGAAGGAAACAGCCAAATCTTTGGTCCTTTCTCTGGCTGCTGCAAAACTGGCTTAACTGGCTCATGTGGGAGGCAGAAGTAATTACTGTAGCTAAACAGGAATTTGGCCAGGACATTAAGACTAATAGTTCTACTTCTGCAAAAAGTAACATGAGATGTTGAAAACCCAAAAGCGAGTCAAGCAGGTTGTTTTATGTTGCAATAGAAAAAGTACTTTTCATAGTACTGTGCAGTTTAATAATATACTTGGTCTCTGTATCAGAACAGTCAGAGAGAAAAAAAATCAACTGCTAAATCACAAACATCCCACTATTTGCATCACTCTGATTTTCCTTGAAAGTCTCTCCCCCAAATATTGACAATGTTCAACTTTCCATAGTTTGCTTGGAAACTGTATGGCTTCAGACCATTGCTGAGAGATTTTGCACACAAAGTAATCATGATGTCTGTTATTAAGGTAGCCTAACCATTTCCATGATCCCCCTGTTTTCAATTGTTTATAACTTTGACAAATGTTAATCTTTCGGGATGAAGTCTTCCATGGTTGCAGACTGCCTTAAGTTGATTTTTTTTTGGGAGAAGAGGGAGGATTAATCAAAAACAGTGTAGCCATTTTCAAGAAAGAGGTAAATGAAAAATAGAAAGTTTTGGCTACATTAAAAAATAAAATTCCCACCATCTTTTGAACAGCTCTAGCATCTCAGTGGTTTGAAATAGGAACTTGAAGTTTGAGAAAGGAATAGTTCTGAGGTCAGCCATTCACTGTCCCCATGAAAATCCATCCAGATTTTACCAAGTTATAATCCATGTAAAATCACCACTTTTGCACATGCACAATAGAAACTGTGTCACTTCTGAAAGTTCAAACTCATACTGCGTCGTTCTGAAATAACTATACAGCACTGTAATGTCCATACAGGACACAAGCAAAATGGCAGCAGTAACTTCAGCTGCTGTTTTCCCTCCATCAAATCCCTTTGGCCTAGATGTAACTATCTTGAGGTTTATTAAATAACAAACCAGCAAATGAGAAAGAAATAAAACTGATACTAGACGTTGCTGTGCTAAATAAAGAACATTAATAACAATTTAATAAACTACGAACCTTCAGCATTCTTTGAATCATTCTGGTAAGAATGGGTAATAGGGAGTGAAAAAACACAAGAGAACCAATTCTGTCATCTAAAAAATTAGGGTTAATTTAAAGTTTTAAATATCATAACAGTTTTGAGCATCATAAAAGTATAGGGTTGGAATTGTTGAATTATTTTACACCCTTTGGAACATAAAATATTCTTAAACCTTGGTAACAAATGTGACTTACCTGAGTCCCTAGCCAGTGCCATGCTCCAACAGAGTTCCATGGTGGCCATGCCATCACCAGCATGGTGCCTACTGGGACATCACTCAAATCAGAAGCAGATTAGCTACATCAGAAAAGTTCTTTTGAGGACCTAGAGGTGAAAAAAACCCAGTAGGTTTAATGCTGGGCTGAAAGGCATTCAGAACATTACAACTATTGGGGGCATTCAGTTGCTGAAATTTTGTAATTTATCTTTGCAAGTCATCTTTAAATCTTCTAAACGTTAGAAAAACAAGACATGGACTTTTAAAAGATTGCATTTATCTGTTCAGTGCCGGAGACCCATCTTGCTTCTGTCATCTTTGAATGCTGAAGTATGTTTTGGGGTTATTTTGGAAAGGGGTGTTTTGGCAGAATCACTTTTTGTGATTGATAATGACAAGTCACAAGAGAGACTGAACCTAAGTTAGAAAAGGAGCAGTACTAGTACCATTAATGTCAATACAGTTCCATGCTTGATGCAATGGCAGAAGGGTTGCCCTAACAATACTGAAACTTTGCTTTTTGTGCATGCACATGTACACACACACACACTCGCCCCCTGCACAGACAAATGTACAATGCAGATGTAGGAAAACTCTTGCTTTAATCACTACCTGAAGGGGGGTTCCAAAGAGGATGGAGCTAGGCTATTCTCAGTCGTGGCAGATGACAGAACAAGAAGCAATGGTCTCCAGTTGCAGTGGGGGAGGTCTAGGTTGGATATTAGCAAACACTATTTCATTAGGAGGGTGGTGAAGCACTAGAAAGGGTTACCTAGGGATGTGGTGAAACCTCAATCCTTTGAAGTTTCTAAGGCCCGGCTTGACAAAGCCCTGGCTGGGATAATTTAGTTGGTGTTGGTCCTGCTTTGATCAGGGGATTGGACTAGATGACCTCCTGAGGTCTCTTCCAACCCTATGATTCTATGAAAGAAGCTAAAAACAAAGTGAATTAAGTAATTATCATAACATGTCAGGTAGGCCAGTTCTTAAGAAGCTACCCATTGTTTTTTCCACCAGCTTTATTTAAGCAGTGCTTCTGTAGTGGGGGCAACACGACAGCTGCCCAGCCAGTATCTCCTACTATCCTGTTAACAGCCCATTCCCTTTTATATTATATTTGTCTCAGCTAAAACAATGAAAGTAAACTAGTAAATTTTGTTTCTGTTTTAGAGTCAGCTTTTGTTTTTTGCACTCATGGGTTCTGGTGCACTTGCACAAGTGTTTGGGAGAATGTTTATTTGTTTAAAAAAAATCTGTTGCCATTTTAATTTAAACAACATTTATGGAATATTTCTATTGGTCTTAAATTCTGTAAAAACCCATTTTACAAAAAGGAAAATATGGAAAACATTTCACCTGAGACCAGAACTGTAACCATGGTGGGGCAAGCAAGGCAGCCACTCAGTGCGCAAAGCCACAGGGGTGGAAAAACAGGGCCAGAAGCGATGTGTGTGTGGGGGGGGGGCAGAAGGGGGCACATGGACTGAGGTGAGTCAGGGGATGGAAGTGGCGCTCCCTCCCAAAGTCCCACCACGCAGGGCCACTCGCCCCCTAAGGGAGCATGCCCAACAGTTTGAAAACCTCTATGGGGCGGTTACATTTCCCCCATACCCTACTATTAATAGTTATGTGTCATCTCCGAATGGGGCACAAAAATTATGAAAAAAGTGGCAGGGGACACAAATAGGCTTGCTTGTCCCAGTGCTAAAATGCTTAGTTACAGCTCTGCCTGAGAGAGTCCCTTTAACTTGTACCAGCTGTTTTTTACGGGTAGGCTTAATCATAAAGTCAAAACTGTTGCGAACAGGGTGTGATGGGAAAGGCCCCCATCCCACTGACACCCAGTCTAACAAGCATCCCTGCACTGAGGCAGTGTCAATTAGGCACACCTGCAGAGCATGCTGCACCTGGAGAAGGGGAGCTTACTAAATTGAAACTGGTCAAAGAGGAGTAGGGGAAGTTTGCCCAATCTACCACAAGGGGCAGAACAACCCAGTCCAGTAATTCACCACTTTCTTTCTATGGCCTGAGGCCCAGATAGCATAGTTTTCCCATGTACTTTTTGAGAAGAACTTTTTCTGTTGGCTGGATGTGTTACAACCAAAAGCAAATAACAATCCAATGTCTTAATAAATCTTTCTTAACCATAATATTTATGAAAACAAAGTACCCAATACTCTGAGACCTAAAGCTTTCTGTAAAATAAATATTTATATAATTAATACTTGTATTTTATTTTCAATATTAATAGCTACAACAAATCTAGCAAACAAATTACTATATAATACCATTACATCACACACCAAAATACTGATTAAAACACTTTACCAGTTGTAACAATGCTGTCTTTGGTGGGACACTTCTGAGAGTATCAATTCAGGATAAATTGCTTAGAGCAGGGCAGTCACAACCCAAAGCTAGGTATCACCTAGTGGGGGTTCTCCACTAAGACACACCAAACCAGACGGACAGAGAGGACTTTGGTTTTACCCCACTGGCTAACCATAAGTTACACAAAAAATTCCCTTAGACACTCCAGTTTCCCAGTATCACCACCAGTGCCACTCGTTATGGGGACGAATGGTTATGAAAACCAATACCCCACTAAAAGAAAAAAAAAGGTTCTCCCGATCACAAAAGACCACGCCCCAGACCCAGGTCAATATACCAGTCAGATCTGACCCACAAATCACGCTGTTGTCAATCCTTCAGAGTCTAAAATCTAAAGGTTTATTCATAAAAAGAAAGAAATATAGATGAGAGTTAAAATTGGCTAACTGGAATCAATTACATGCAGTAATGGCAAAGTTCTTGGTTCAGACTTGTAGCAAGGCTCTGGAGTACATCCACAGCTGGGATGGAACATTCAGTCCTTTATTCAGAGCTTCAGTTTGTAGCAAGGTTCCTCCCAACGTTAGAAGCAGGACTGAAGACAAGATGGATGGGTTTTCATGGCCTTTTATATTCTCTGCCTGTGGAAGGACATCCCTTGTTCTTACTGTGGAAAATCACAGCAGCAAGATGGAGTCTGAAGTCACATGGGCAAATCACATGTCCACACATGATTCAGTTTGCAGGCCGACGCCATTGTTTTCATGTTAGTTTGAATGTTCCCAGGAAAGCTCAGATGTGGATTGGCGTGTCCCAAAGTTCATTGTCAGTTAAATGTTTCTTGATTGGGCACTTACTGAGAATAGTCCTTTCTCACTAAGCTGACCAAATACGTCACTGAGCCTACTTAGAATCAAAACACATAGAGATACAAGTCCATAGCCAATATTCATAACTTCAACTACAAAAATGATACACATATACAGATAGCATAATCAGAACCAGCAAATCAGAACCTTTCCATAGACACCTTACATGATAACCTTTGTACAATATTTGCTGCAAATATATAACAATGATCTATACGGTCACAGTTTAAGTCAATAATGTCACACCAATGCTACTGTTTGGTTAGAATGGGAATATGATTGTGTCCCCAATGGGGCTTTTGCCATTGAATTCAATGGGAGCAGGCCCAAAGAAAGTGATGCTTAGAGTTAAAGTTGCCTACCCCTTTCTATTGTAAGATCCTGTTGTCCTTTGCTTATAACTTGGCCAAACTTTAACCATTTGGACTGAAAATTTCCATGCTGAGTGACTGCCTCAGGCTGACTGATTTTTTTAAGTTCCATCAAAAATGGTTCAAGCATTTCCAAGAACAAAATTAGGGGAAAATGCATAGTTTGGCTAATTTTAAATTCTTACAGTGATTTCACTGAAAAGCTGTAGAAGCCCATGTTTCTGAGCAAGGATTTGAAATTTGACTGCATGGAAAATTTGGCAAAGTTGTAAGCCTTTAAAAATCTTAATTTGCATATGCTCAGTAGCGGTTTGTTGGAGCTTGCTACCTAAATTCTCCAAAGATTCCATCCAGAGTTCCAAGGCAGAGTGAGGCTTTCCCCGCAATTGTTTCTTCTGGAAGTTAGGGGTGCTGTGGTGACAGGCACGGGAACTCAGAGAAAGGAGATTGTCTCTCCTGTGCTCTCGCTGAACCCCTTGCTGGCACACAACCAGCATGAAGGAGAAGGACCTGAATATTGAGAGATGAATGTAGGAACTGGGCAGGAGACTGAGACAGGAATTTGGGATGGGGAGGGAGAATGAGGCAGGAACTGGCAGGGGGAGGAGGGCTGGGAACAGCGGCAGGATGGATGGGATAGGAAGAGAAGGGGAGATCGGGCTTTGTGGGACAGAAACAGAAGAGTTTATAACCACAAGAGCACTTCTCCTTTCCTGCAGTTTCCCTATTCAGGGTTGGGAAAAGGCTATAAAACTCTCCAAAACTCATGACTGTACACATAGCTATCATGAAAATTGGTCTCTCTATGGTCCACTGATATCCAGTACACGTATCTTTTCTTGTGGCTGGCCAAGTCTCTGTTCCACATATCAGGATGGATTGAAATACAGTATTATACTTGTAGGGGCAAGGCTGCGGAAGATTGGCAAGGAGCTAAGTGGTGGACTGAGTATGTGACTGGATGTAAGCGGAGGATGCAGGCAGTTTCAATTAACTTTGTCCGACAGACCCTGCCAAAAAGATATTGTAGCATAGCTCAGCATATTTTTGCCTGTAAATAAGTTAGTGTATGTAATAAGCATAAATCAGACATATAAGAATGTAACCAGCTGTTGACCCCATGTAACCGTGAGATAAACACGGAGAATATAGCGCCGCAGAGGACTCCCCCCGGCGGAGTCCTGCCTGGTCAGCTGTCCCGAATGGCCAGAGTCCCCTGCAGCCCCTCCGCGCGTCCTAAGGGCTCCCCGCACAGATTGGAGCGTAAGTTCTTCCTTCCTTCCTTCCATAAAGCAGTTTACTATTCTTAGGCCAGAGTGTCCTCCTTTCGCTGGTATCTCCCCACCCTGGCCCCGGCCCTCGCGGGCACTCGCACAATACTCTATATTTAACTTTACTGGCATCTTTTTAATCACAGACAACTGGGGGTCAACTCCTGCCATTTGCACCAAGCAGCTTTGGTATGATGCCGGGCATCACTCAGTAAGGCGCTATTGTCAGCAACCATTGATCCTAGGTATTTAAATTCTTTCACTC